ATATTTTAGAAAGGTAAAATGAACTTTAAGAAGAATGAAAAACCCCTGATACTCAGTAAAACTAATTTTTATCATATAAATTTGACATGTAGAAGAATACTTTTAGTAGTTGTCTCTGAAGGAGTTAAGTGCTTTAAAGAGTAGCCACAGGATTAAAAAATCATTCCACTAATCTTGGAGTTTTTAATGTATGCTTAACGTGAGTTTATTTTAAGGCTTTAGAAATGCATAAAAATAGATTGTTAAAAGCTGAATAAATTCATAGGATATATAGTCACAGTTTAAAAATAATTTTTTTCCTTTATTTTAGAGAGAGAGGAAGGGAAAGGGAGAGAGATACAGAAACATTAATAAGAGAAAACATCGATGGGCTGCCTCCTGCATGCCCCCCACTGGGGATCAGGCCCGCAGCCTGGGCATGTGCCCTGACAGGGAATCGAACCAGCTACCTCTGGGTGCATGGGTCGATGCTCAACCATTGAGCCAGGCTAGTCACAGTAGTTTTGCTGAAAAAAAAAAGCATAATTGGAATATTTCATATGTAAATTTTTTTTAATCCTCACTCGAGGACATTTTTCCATTTTTTGTTCAGATAGAGTGGGAGGGAGAGAGAGGAAGAGAGAGAGGGAGAGAGAGAGACATCGATGTGAAAAGAACACATGGAGTGGCTGCCACCCGCACGACCAATCAGGGCCGGGGACAAACTGCAACTGAGGTACGTGCCCTTAGTGGGAACTGAATCCGGGTCTCTCTGGACTGCAGGCCGATGCTCTAACCGCTGAGCCAAACCGGCCAGGGTGGAATATTTCATATGTAAATTTTAACATGATGTGATGAGAGGGAACTTTAAGTACATTTATCATATAACTGACTTTGAAAGAATCAGGGATGGTAGATTATAGGAGTATGATGCTTACTTACATTGATATTTACAACTGCTCCAAAGTTAAAATTTAAAAACAATATGTGCCTATGGAAAAGAGAAATGTAATATAATGGCACAAAATGTTGACTATGAAATGTTTGAATAATATCTAACAGACCAAATATGGTTCTTAAACTATAGGCATTGTGATCATTGTGAATCTCAAAGAGATACCGAATTCATGCTACTCTGAGTATATAATAATAAAGTTATATTAGATAATACTTATCAAGTATTATGTCAGATACTATGTAATGCTTTATATGTTAAAATTAAATAGCACTATCAAGATGTAAATGAATACACATTCAGGTACTTTATTAAATAGAAAAAGAATAATATGTATTTTCCTTATTTAAGATGAAGTGCATTATCTATACACAATGGTCAAACTATTTATTTATTTTTAATCTTCTCTCGAGGACATTTTTCCGTTTTTTGTTTGGACAGAGTGGGAGGGAGAGAGAGGAAGAGAGAGATAGAAACATTGACGTGAAAGGGACACATCAAGTGGTTGCCTCCCTCATGACCCAACCAGGGCCAGGGACAAACTGCAACTGAGGTACGTGCACTTAGCGGGAACCGAACCCAGGCCTCTCTGGACCGCAGGCCGATGCTCTAACCACTGAACCAAACCAGCCAGGGCCAAACTTTTAAAATCAATCTTTAGGAAACGGGTTACAGTCATGCTTTCAAGTATTGATAGTTGATATCACAACAATCTTTGTTTCCCTAAATCAATGGTTCTCAACCTTTCTAATGCTCTGATCCTTTAATAGAGTTCCTCATGTTGTGGTGACTCCAACCATAAAATTATTTTCGTTGCTACTTCATAACTGTAATTTTGCTACTGTTATGCCTTAGGCGACTCCTGTGAAAGGGTTGTTCGACCCCCAAAGGAGTTGCGACCCACAGGTTGAGAACCGCTGCCCTAAATGATAAACTTTTTATGTATGGCGGTGGTATTTATAAAATGGTATTTATGTACAGTTCTTGGTAGATTGAAGAGTGAATGTGTTGTTTGGGAGTGGGAAAAGGAAATTTAAGATTGGCCTGGAGAAGGAGCAGAAACACTTATTTAAAAAAATCCACTCCATTAGAAGTTTCTATTACAAGTGTCTTTTTTCAAAGGAGGGTTTACGCTCACCCTTGAATTCCTAATATGTAACACCTAACTATTTGTATTCTGAGAAACGAGAGCCTGAGTTCTGTGTGTGATTAGGTCACAATGAGAGAAAATGTTTTGAAAGTGAGTTTGAAGGGTGGTAAAGAGAGACTTAGTTTTTTTGTTTTTTTTTTTATCCTCACCCGAGGACATTTTTCCATTTTTTGTTCAGGTAGAGTGGGAGGGAGAGAGAGGAAGAGAGAGAGAGAGAGAGAGACATCGACGTGAAAGGAACACATCGAGTGGCTGCCACCCGTACAACCGACCAGGGCTGGGGACAAACTGCAACCGAGGTACGCGCCCTTAGCGGGAACCGAACCCGGGCTTCTCAGGACCGCAGGCCGACGCTCTAACCGCTGAGCCAAACTGGCCAGGGCGAGAGACTTAGTTTTGCTAACAAAAGTAATCTCTAGGTAAATGGTACATTTGTTATGATTCTTGCTGGTTTGGAGGCTCCAAACCTTAACTTCTCTAAGTCAGTACTGTTTAACTTCTTCTCTATTTTAGTTATGTTTCTCCCCATCTCAATGAAAATGAATATCCTTGTTCCTGGGCCTTTTGGTACAGGGCCTCCCTAATTAATGTTGATGGTATGCCACATGTATGTTCACATATTTTCTTGTCTAACTTCTAACTGAAAGCTAGAAAGGCATTTAAATGAGGATCACAAAGTAATCCCTCCCCCTTGAGGTTCTTTAAAAAAATTTTTTTTTCTTTATTGATTTTAGAGAGAGAGGAAGGGAGAGGGAGAGATGGAAACATCGATGGGAGAGAGAGCATTGACTGGCTGTCTCCTACATGCCCCCGACTGGGGATTGGGCCTACATTCTGGGCATGTGCCCTGCTGGGGAATCGATGACCTCTTGGTGCATGGGTCGACACTCAACCACTGAGCCACACCGGCCAGGCCCCCTTGATGTTCTGTTAACAGTTATGTATTAAGTGGTAGAAGAATCACTGGGGAGTCACCAACTCCTTTGGATCTAGGTTTGTGAAATAAAAGGCAAGATCTTTGAATTCATCTATGTAATTGTAAGCTACATGTTAATATTGGATAGGCCCATTATATTTGTTGATCTATCTATATATATATAAATTAACTGTAGCACCTTTATGTAATAAGTTATGTACTATTTCATTATATAAAACATTAATCATGCCCGCTGGTGTGGCTCAGTAGTTGAGTATCAAACCATGCACCACGAGATCGCCGGTTTGATTCCTGGTCAGGGCACGGTTGTGGGTCAAATCCCCAGTGAGGGGGCATGCAGGAGGCGGCCAACTGATGTTCTCTCTCATTGATGTTTCTGTCTCTCCCTCTCCCTTCCTCTCTCTCTAAAATCAATAAAGAAAAAACAAAACAAAACGTTAATCTTGTTTACTTCCTGAAGAAAAGATGCAGGGTAGTGAGGATGGTTAAGTTCAGATGTTTTTTTTTTATCCTCACCCGAGGACATTTTTCCATTCTTTGTTCAGGTAAAGTGGGAGGGAGATAGAGGAACAGAGAAAGAGAGAAACATCGACGTGAAAGGGACGCATCGAGTGGCTGCCACCTGCACAACCAAACAGGGCCGGGGACAAACTGCTACCAAGGTACCCGGAACTCGGGTCTCTCGGGACCGCAGGCCAATGCTCTCACTGTTGAGCCAAACTGGCCAGGGTAAGTTCAGATGGTTTTTAAGGTGTATGGTAGAAAGATCTGTGCTTAATCAGAGAAACTTGATTTCTACTACTTATTAGATATGTAACTGTATGTAAGTTACTATGGAAACAAGCTTAGAGGCAGTATGGAGGAGATGCTTGTATATGTAAAGTGCCTGGCATATCCTTGTAGATATTAATTAGTGAATGTCAGTATCTTTCTTGTTGTACAGGACAAGTGAAATGCCTTCTGGAAAACTATATTGAAAATGTTGGAAAATATTTGAAAAGTTATATAGTTGAGTAAATTACCAAGTAAGTTGTTAATAAATAGAAAAATATGAAAAGGACTACTGTCCCTACAAAAAAACCTTTATTTATTGTTTTCATATTTATGTCTCCTCTAGAAAGCTTTTTTAAATTTATTTTTTATTTTTTTCCCATTACCATTTATCCCCTCTATGCCCTCTTCCCATCCCCCCATCATCTCCCCTCTGCAATCACCACAGGACAGTTTTATTTTTATTCTGTATTAGTCATGCCTGGGTTTGAGGAATTTATTATATTAGATTAAATGTGATACTGAAATTCTTTTCATATTGAATGATTTTTAGAGACTTTATCCTATTCGGAAAGAAATCACTTATAATCAGAAATAATCTGATTAGTTTGAATCAAGGCTAATTTTATATGAATTAATAATGTATATGGGTGTTCCTACTTGAGAGACATCATCAACAATATTCAACAGGTGCCTGTGTTTAGATGACAAGACAGAAGGGGAAAAAAGCTATATAGCAAATGATTAAGTAATGCCATTTCTTACTTTAAAAAATATACAATTCTAAAAGCCATTTAAAACATCAAACTTGTATATGTTTGTTAATTTGTAATGTTAGAAAACCCATCTTTAAAATAAATTTTCAGTATAAGAGTAATACAAACTGAATGACAGACTACATTATTAGTGGATTTATATTGTATAATTTGTGCTTTTTTATCTGAGTTTTTCCATGTAGTAAAAATACATTTATTCAAAAAAGGAGAGGGATAGTACATTATAATTCCAAGGAAATTTTTATATTAGTAATGATAATTTTTTGGGCTTAAATTGGAAAGGATATTATTTAATACCTGAACAAAGAAATTCACAACCAAGGCTGAAATCTTACCTATATTACTATATATTTCTAATTATACATTATTTTAAGCTTGTATATTTTAAACCATGGTTACAGAATTATTGCGTAGGAATATATTGAAGGGATACCTTATTATATTTATTGGACTTCTGATTTAATTCTCTACAACTTCAAAATAGTGTTGTGATATGAAACAATAACATTTTTACTGATTAAAAAAGAAACAAGGTTTGAACTGAGTCTTTCATTGTATTTTTCTAAACTCACTTCTCACGATTATGTGTTTAATATCATTAGTTAGAAAATCATTATTAAAACTTGAATTTTTTTCTTTAACTGTACCCTAATATTCTGAATATGTATGTGTTTCAGGACACTTGCAATTAAACCATAAATTCTGATGATATCAAACACTAAAAATAAATAAATAAGATCTTCAAGTAAATATGTTTCCAAATCATATTGTCATTGTGCAGTGCAACTATTCTCTAAAGACTAAAAGTTCTGCTCCTTTGGAAAAGTCAGTGATTAGGTCTCTATAAGAAATCGAGGTTCTGTTTTCCTTCTAAACGTTCCTTTACTAATTTTTCCAAAGAGAAAAGATGCTCGTCTGCATCTTCTGGCACAAGATTCCTAATAGAATTTGCAAGTTCAAAAAGATATTCTGTATTTCTTCCACTTGGACCAGCTGCATTAAAAATTTGTTCGGCAATGTCTTCCAGAGGTGCAGGACCAAGATAATTAGGATTATCACATGTTCCAATATACAGCAACACCTTGAATGGTTCTGTAGTGGGATCTTTTGGATAAAAATTGACTGTTGTGGTCCTGTAGCCTCCTTTCTCTCTGAAGTCAAGGTATGCTTTTACTTCTTCTTCCTTTCCTGCTGGCAGTCTGTAAGCAACACCCCATACACAACCCTATTGAAAAATGAAAATATATTATTTAGTATTTACAAGGCTAATATAGGTTAGAGTATGTTGTGCTCCAAGAAAATATCTTATATATTCTTAGAAATCAACGCAATTAGTGCATTGAAGAGGCACATACTAAACAATAAAGGAAGTCATTTAAAATTTTCAATCTGAAAAAAAGTATTTCCTTGCACACCAGTATATTTATCTTTGTTTAAATTTTTGAAAGTATGTTTTTTATTTAAAGAGACTGAAATTAAAAAATATCAGGTCTTCATTTGGTCATTAAAACTATGGTTCTAAAGCTTAAAGTACATAAGTATTTCACTGATGGTATGGGGCAATAGCTTCCAATCTGCTGCATGGAGTATTATAGTGACCCTGGAGCCTACTTCAGAGGCTGTCTGGATATGAGTGTTGGGGTGCTCTCCAGGAGTTTGGACACACCAACCCCCTTCAGCTAGGAGCTGAGCAAAACTTATCTTTTTATATATCAGGTGTTCTCTCTCTCTCTCTTTTTTTTTTTTTTGCAGAAAGGGTTCTATATTTTAAAGCTCTGTAGTAATCAACTACTTAGGCCTTAGCAGTTTCAATTTATTTGTTCATCTCTTCACTGACTAAACTTTCAAATATCCTTTGTAAATTACCCCATTCAGAATACTACATGACAACCTCTTTTGTCAAGAGAGCCCATTAACAAAGTGTCAGTAAAAATAATGTATTTTAGCTGCAAATATTTTTTTACTACAAATATCTGTGATAGAAGCAAGATTTACACTTGGTAATACAGATTTTCTAGTTTCTTGAGAACCTTTATTAAACTTTAGGTTGCTAACCATCCTCTTGAATGAATTAACATTTTGTAGAAACACAGTGCCATTTATTAACGTTAATTAAGAGTTACAGTTACTAGTTAAAAGCATTTTTATAGATGCTTTCCCTAATGTAAATTATAAAGCATTTCATAATTTTATCATTCATCTGTTGCTAGCTGCTGATTTTTGTATATCAAAGTCCTTTCCAAAGTTAAATCTTTAATTTCACAGTATTAAACTTTGAATCTATACTTCAATAAAATGACTGAACATATTTAAGAAACAGAGGACTACCGAGTAAATAAAAGTTTTCTAGAGCTCTAAACCTGTTAAAAAACCTGTTGTACTACTGATAAATTTAGACACTAAAGAAAGTAATAATTACTGCCTGGGAGTTTTGCTGAAAATATTAGACTCCTGGCAAATGTGAGGAGAGCTTTAAGGGTTCCATTTGATTTTTAGTGGTAGTTGGGCGGGCTCCATTCATGTCAAAGAAGACCACCAAATCCTCAGTCAACCAACTCTTTAAGAAAAATAAATGAGACTACATGCCATTTGGTTTTCTTTGTTGTCTATCTTGCATTCTGTATCCAACTTTTTCCAGCAGATGAATACAGAGGAATTCTAGATCTAGTGCAGTTCAAATAGTCTTTAATGACTGTCAATACAATTTCATTTAAAACAGAAACGTCTCAACAACTTATATGATTAATGACTATATAAAAGAAAAAAATTATACTGTACCCCAGGATCTTCAACAAGAGTCACAACTCTTCCAGGCTGTTTTTAAAAAAGTAAAAAAAAATAAAAATAAAACCTTTTATTTTCTGAATTAAATTTCATCAACTAACTGAGCATTAGCAATTTATTGTTAACTTCATTTGCTTATACTAAACACTTTTAAAAAAAACTTATGTTGTAATGATAACTTTTAAAATGAATTAGGTAAGAGAATCTGCTTTATCCAAACTATCTTGGCCTTTCTAAACCATTCCCTTCAACTTGTCTATATTATATATTATGTTGACTTAAAATGGATATATTGAAAAACACACCTGTGACCAAGGCTCATCTGAAATGAAAGGTAGAAGGAAGAAACAGTTGTAAATAAAGATTCTGGTCATTTTTTCTTCTTAGGAAAAAAAAGAAAGTTTATTAGGGAACAAAACATGGCATTCCAATTGCTTTTTATAGGGAAATGGTTCTCAAACTCAAGATGAAAATTACTTGGAGGGCTTGATAAACACACATCGCTAGGTCACACTCTCAGAGGTTTTGATTCTGTAAGTCTGGAGTTGTCTGAGAATTTGCATTTAGAAATATTATTCCTACCTGGTACTAAAGGTATGTATCTGCTGACACGTTAACATTATTAGTGAGAATGTTGAGTTGTAAACCATAATTTTACTTACTTGATGCCCACTGTCTGGCATATAACCTGTATCTTTCAGATTATTGGTGTCATCTTTGTTGCTTTTTCCTTTTAGTCTTTGTCCACTTGTATAGATAATTTGTAATCATGGAATATATGGGATTTTGGATTTTATTTATTTTTCTGTTAGTCTTCTCATACATTTTAATAGTTGTATAATATTCTGTAATCAGTGAAGTATCATTTCTGTGTTGCTGGACATTTAGATTTGACTTATTTTCTACTTAAGATAATGCTACAATGAGGATACATATATTGGCGTGGGTCATGTAGATATTGCCATAATATTTTCAAATTCTAAATGAATTAGCTATTTATTACCTACTCTGTGTTGTGGAGAAGATAAAACCTTGATTCTTGCTTCCAAGAGTTTATATTGTAATTCTGGAATAAGAAGTTAACACTTGAAATAGGTAGAGAATATTTAAGGGCTAAGATATATAGTATTTATTAAGTGCAGTAAGAATTCTGAGTCTTGAGTGGTCAGAATGGAACATACAATTCTGTCAAAAAGGCACTGTGATTCAGGAGTGAGGGCCCATAGGCAGTATATACCAGACCACGTGTCTGACTTTAGCAAAGGGTCCCCCATGTAGGGAAGATGATTCAGAAAGAAAAATGGGGAAAATAGGACAGAGTCAGCTTTGAAAAACAAAAAGTGGAGTTGAAATTAGGGGACAGTGGAAAATAAGAAGCTGCTGAAATTTGGGAGAAATAGGAAATAAGGAGTTACTCTAGCATGATAAAAGAAGTGTTTTGGGACGATCATTGTGGTAAAGTGTATAGTATGTAAATTAGAGTGGGAAGGAGGTAGATTCTCGGTAAGAAATGTTCGTGGTCCAGGCGACAAGTTCTGTACTGCACCTTTCTTTGCCTTGCCTTACATCCAGCCAAATCACCAATTCTTGATAGCTCTGCCTTCTGATTATCTTCTGTGTCTGGTTCTCTTCATCTTTCAGTAGCTTCCTTAGGGATCTCACTGCCTGCTTCTAGTTTTGCTTTCCCTTCAGTCTGTTCTCTACTTGGGCCTAAAATGACTTTCTAGTGTAAAAATTGGGCCACTCCCATGCTTTCAATTTTTCAGGATTGTATTCTGTGGGACAAAATAAAAATTCCTTAGCATAATTTAACTATAAACCTCATTTCTTACCACTTGTTTCCTCAAGCTGTACTGAATCGTTTTTAACTTTTTACAAACCTTGTGTCTTTGGATGTACTGGTGCCCAGTGTGGAATGTCCTTTCTTTTATATCCCTTTGATATCCTCCTGCCACTGTCTCCATAAAGGCTAGGCTGACTCCCCAGAGGACCGTAACAGCAGCTCCTTCTCCTAAACTCTCATTTTTCCTTTATAGTACTTACAAGTATTATTGTTTGCATAGGCGTCCCCCACTTATTTGTAAGTTATCCACATTGTTAGTTACCCCAACTGAAATGTTCCTTATGGATTAGTTGTTTTGCGGCCAGTACAAGGCTGATTTCTATAAGCAGTGAGCTGCTACTTATTTTCTATATATTGAGATGAATGTTTTTGCATAACTGCCTAAAAAATGGATCTAAGAACTTATACTTCACATTTATAATTTAGAGAAGAACCATCCAGAAACATGAAAAATAATGCTGGATATAGTAATGGACATTATGTTATTCAAGTAACAAACTGGGAACTCATTTAAGGTTGCTAGTACTTGACAACTAAAGTGATTAAATTAAATTTCTTAATAACCCAAGGTAATATGGAAACTAGTCCTTCTGTGGCCTTAGGTGTCATAAAATAAGTCTTTGGGAAGGTATAAAGAAACCCCAGAAACGACACACAAGTTTAAATTCAAACCAATGAAAGTCTGCCAAAATGCAGAAATGCCAAAAAATTTCATTGCCAAAAAGCTGAATTTGCAAGTTGATTTTAGTATTTCAACTCAGTGGTGACTCAAAGATTGATCTTCCCGCCCGTTTTTTTTTTTTTTTTTTAGGGGGGGGGCCCTTGCCAGCACGTCAGCCTTGTGCAAACTTGTGTGCTCGTGCCCACGTTTCTTGCCTGCTCAAGAAACCAACTACCAGCATCTCAAGCGGCTTCGGAAGGAGTACCCTAGGTTTGGGAGAGGTTGGAGTAAGGTGGCCGAGGAAGAAGCACAGATGTAACATTGGTGTCCCTAACCCACATTCTTGGCCCTCGGAAGGGTTGGGGTGTGGATCCCGCGGAGTTGGGCCAGCAGGTGGGGGCAGCGCTCCTGGGGCTGTAGGTGTCGGGGACTGGCTAGGGGCTCACCTTGCCGGGGACTCCGCGGTGGTCTGTGCTGCCTTGCCAGAAGCGCCTGCTGTAGCCTGTGATGCATCCAACCAGCTTGTCCTGATAGGGGAAGTCCACCTTCCAGATCAGGGATCCGTAACCAAAAACCCACATCTTTCGCCAGCACCTCTGCGGCGACAGTGGAGGCTGTGTGGCGGCAGTCGGTCTGCCTCTTGCCAGACGCAAGTTACCGGCTGCGAAGGCGCAGGCGCTGAGAGCCGCAATCCCTGGTTGGCGCAAAGCACACTGGGACTTGAAGTTCGAGATTTCCTGACTCGGTCAACGTTATTTTCTTGCTTAGGATCGCAAGAAGCATGGACCTGTGTGCTAAACAGAGACTCGCTTGTAGCCTTAAGCTTCCTCTGGTGCGCTTGTGCAGAGGACTACAATACCCACACTCCTTTTCTGGGGTTTGTGGCTCCGAGGTTGAACTGCCGCCTGCTTTTTTCGAAGTAAGGCGGGGAGGGTAAGGAGAACGGAAAGGGCCAGAGTCCTGGCTGGTGTGCTTTAGATAACCAAGACGAGATACGTGTATGGCAGTTGGCACGTAGAAAGGCATTTTGTTCTGCCTTGAAAACAGAATTTCTGCACATGTAACAGTAGCTAGAGGAGCGCAGGTTGGGAATGTAATCCATATTTGATTTTATTTACACTTTAAAAAATCGTCTGCCTTTTTACCTTTCACATAAAAACAGGACGTTTATTACAGAAGTTTTATGCTGGTGAAAGAGCTACTTAATGCAACGAAATTTGCTTATGTATTTAAATTTTACATGAAAATTATATTATTTGTCTTTAGTATTCGCTGCAACTCACTCAGAAAAGACTAGGCAAAGGTACTCAGCTCATGTACAGGCTTTGGAAGCTATTTGGGGAAGGAACCTCCTGAAAGTGTATACAAAATCTGCGGTCTATGTGTATTTTTCTGAGGAGAAACTTTATAGCTTTCATGAGTTTTTCCAATAGGATAAGGTTACTATCTGACCCTGAAAGGACACACCTGGAAAGCTGCTGAATAGTCTGTTGAGATCTTCCCCTGGGACCTTCCCCCAAATCTCTGCCCTTAAAACCCTCTGGACACAGCACCCCGTGCACTCCCTCCCAGGTGCGGTACCATTACCTTCCTCACTTCCGGTCTCCAAGGGTCCTTCCTTTACCTCTGTGACTTGTTTCCTAAGCCCATTTCTTCTATAAATTACTCCTTCTACCCTTGTGATTTTACAAATAAATGTTCTCTTATAGTTTGAGTGTTGGCTCTGAACTGTTTCCTAATCAAACTCAAGTGCCGAGGTTGCTAAACTCAGGTCCAGTCTCACCTCATGGGTCTGACACCTGATGCAGTTCTCATTGCCCACAACAGATCCTTTAACATTGTTTCTGTGAGAAAATTCAGTAAAATTTGGAAAAAGATGCATACCTTTTTCACTCAAATGCTGTTTTTAATGTCTTTGGAGTAGTGTCCTTGTTTGTGTTTGTGTGTGGCTTTCCTACTTAGAAAAAATTTTTTTAAATTTAATTTATTTATTTTTGAAAAAATTTTTCTTGTATTAGATGAACATACTTATAAATTTCTCTAAAATGTGTGTGTGTAACTTTGATGTAATGGCCTTGGCTAGAAATTAACATGATTCAGAAAAGTAGGAAATCTATTAATAACTAATCAGATGAGTAGAAAGAAAGGGTTTGGAGGCAGAGAACTCACTTACATCTGAATTCTATCAGTTCCCAGCTAACGGACCTTGGGCAAGTCATTTCTAGTCTTTGACTTCAGATTCTTCACTTGGAAACAGAGATAATTCCTGCTTTAGGAGAGGCGTTTTGAGAATCAGACAGTCCTCATAGCTCTTACATAATATTTGTTTGAAACATTTTGTAAACTCTAAGCATTACATAATTAGAAACTAATATTATTGTTCTTACCATCTCCTCACATCTGAGTAGAAACAGAAGTATATGCACGTTTACTGAGCGTCAGGCATTGTGCCAACACGTTGACCTATAGAGTTTTCACCCAAAATGGCATCATTCCCATTTTGTAGATGAAGACCCTGAGACTCAGGTTAAGGAAATTGCCCAAGGGTATAAAACTAGTAAAAGTGCAACTGAAATTCACACAGGTTTGTTCGACTCCAAAGTCTGTGATTGTTTTTTGTTTCCCCTCATTGATAGCACATAATATATCAAGCTTCTGTCAGGCATCCTACTTTTAGTAGAAACCAGTTTATAAGAAGTTTACAAGATTTGTCAAGGTGACAGCTTGGGGTCCTACTAGAATAAGGCATAAAGTCAGTAGCTATTGATGAAGAAAGGAAGATGAGCACAGTCCAGGGCTCGCAGGAAGGGAGAGAGCTGGACTGAGCCCCACAGTGGCATTGCTCCATGCTGGCCGCAGGGACACTAGATGCCGAGAAGTAAAAGGAGAGCTCTGCCATGCCTGCCACTCCCTTCTCCCCTGCCTCTTGGGAGCAGGCTTCCCTGGCCAGCTTCAGCCCCGCATTCAGCTGTAGAGGCCTGTGTTGCTGGACCCAGGTTGGGCACTCAGGATAGTTGTGCATTTACTAGTCCTCTAGAGCATTTAAAAAATAAAGGTAAAAGCCCTGGCCAGTTTGGCTCAGCGGTTGGAGCTTCGGCCTGAGGACCAGAGAGTCCTGGTTTTGGTTCCCGCTAGGGAACGTACCAAAAATAAAGAAATAAATAAAATAAAGAAAAAATAAAGGTAAAGAGCATGGAATAGAAATCCTCAAGAAAGAACAGTCATTTTGGTCAGGCTTTTGTTTTCATACATAGAAACAGCTGCGATACTCCAAGTGAGTTTCCTGAACTGTATTTGGGAACAGTAGCTCTCACCAGCAGGGTCTAGGTCTCCACTGATTGGTTGGTGCCAGGGCAGGGTCAAATAGAAGACTGGAGACTAGAAAGAGATTTCTTGGAGGAAATTGGAGTAGAATCTGGTTTATTTTTTCCTCTCCCCAGAGTGAATGCTATTTCCTTCCCCATCCCTGTGAAAGGAGGGAGGTGCTATCTGCAAAGACTGGGGAGACCACATTTTACCCCCTGACTGAGATCTGCTGCTGAATTAAAGAATCCCACAGAAACCTCTCCAGTGAACATGGGTTAGACTCTTGCAGAGGCTGTGGCATGACAGATCTCCTTCTCCATCTTAGGCTCTTCTTCAGCAGTTATGTGAGAGAGGCTAGACATATCCACTTCGATCTGCTAATCTCTTGTTCAGTGTTGTTTTATTGACTCTAGTGTTTTCTTTCTGCCTTGTTTTATAGACTGGACAAAAGAATGGATTTTACAGAGGCTTACTCTGACACATGTTCCACGGTTGGACTTGCTGCCAGGGAAGGCAATGTTAAAGTCTTAAGAAAACTACTCAAAAAGGGACGGAGTGTTGATGTTGCTGATAATAGAGGATGGATGCCAATTCATGAAGCAGCTTATCACAACTCTATAGAATGTTTGCGGATGTTAATTCATGCAGGTAAAGTAAATTCAAGGTATGGGGAGGTGGGCCTGCAAGCTGGATTAATAAAACATAAAACAATGATGACACATGACTTACTTGTTTCCCGTTCTATAACTTTAAAATAACTGCCTCTGCATTATTAAGAATGATAAGATCGCCTGCTTTGGGTTGTAAATGTTGTCCTTTATATGGAAGTGCCTATGCCTGGCCCTTATTTATTTATTTATTTTTGCTACAGATGTTTCTCCTTTTTTCCCCATTGACACCCTCCTCCCCATCCCCCCACCCCATACCTGACTCTGTTGTCTGTGTCCATCGATTATGCATGCATGCATATATGCATATAAGTTCTGTGGTTTATCTCTTCCTTCCCCCCCACCTCCCCCTCTTCTGAGGGTTGTCATTCTGTACCCTACTTCTATGTCTCTGGGTCTACCCTATTCCTCAGACTGTGATGTTCATTATATTCCACAAACAAGTGAGATCATGTGGTATTTGATTTTTTCTGCTTGGCTTGTTCGCTTAGGATAATACTTTCTAGGTCCCTGCATGTTGTCTCAAAGGATAAGAGATCCTTCTTTCTTACAGCTGCATAGTACTCCGTTGTGTATATGCACCAAAGCTTTTTTATCCATTCGTCTACTGATGGACACTTAAGCTATTTCCAGATCTTAGCTATTGTAAATAGTGCTGCTATGAACATGGGGGTACATATATTCTTTCTGATTGGTGTTTCAGGCTTCTTAGGGTATATTACTAGGAGTGGGATCACTGGGTCAAATGGCAATTCAATTTTTAATTTTATGAGGTAACACCATAGTGTTTTCCATAGTGGCTGCACCAGTCTGCATTCCCACCAGCAGTGTACTAGAATCCCCTTTTCTCCATACCCTCGCCAACACTTGTTGTTTGATGATTTGTTGATGGCGGCCATTCTGACAGGTGTGAGGTGATACCTCATAGTTGTTTTAATTTGCATCTCTCTGATGATCAGTGATGCTGAGCATTTCTTCATATGTCTCTTGGCCTGACCCATTTTTTAAAAAAATTGTCACCTGAGGATACTTTTTCATTTATCTTCAGATAGAGGGGGAGAGAGAGAGAAAGAGAGAAAGAGAGAGAAAGAGAAAGAGAAACATTAATGTGAGAGAGACACATAGATTGGCTGCCTTCTGCACAACTAGGGCCAGGGACTGAACCACAACTGGGGTACACGCTCTTGACTGGAATCGAACCCACAACTCTTTGGTCTCAGGGCCAATGCTCTAACTGCTGAGCCAAACCAGCCAGGGCTTCCTGGCCCATGTTTATTGTCTGAGTTAGGTTTAAGCATTTGATAGTTACGGGTCATGGTTACCGTTTCTTCTTTTTTCCAAACAAAAGGAGCAGTGTTACTGTTATTGAGGGTGTGAGTATTTTGCTTGAATTATTTTTTAAAAATGTTACAGTTTCTTTAATTTGGGGGAGCTTTCCAATTAATTTGACTTTGTATTTGCTGAGGACTTGTTAGAGAACAGGATGGACAAGGTCCCTTTATGGTGTTTATATTTGCTGACTAAAGGTTGCTTAAAATCTTGTAATCAATTAGAGCATATCACTAACAAATATTTTAATTTGACAAATATATGATGTAACTCTTAATATTTTTTATTAGTTCCAGTTAAGAAAATATGCTACAATACCGACCATGATAACAGATACTAAAGATCCTTAGATAAATAAAGCAGTGTAGCACAGTGATTATAAGAGTTGTGTTCAGCCCAGCTCAGTGGACTGAGAGGTCCCGGTTTGATCCCATCAGTGCACGTGCTTAGGTTGCTGGCTTGATCCCCAGTAGGGGGCATGCAGGAGGCACCCGATAGATGTGTCTCGCTCACATTGATGTTTCTATCTCTTTCTCCCTTCCTCTATATTAAAAAAAAAAATCAATGAAAACATATTTTATTTATTTATTTTTATCTTCACCCGAGGCCATTTTTTTTTTTTTTTCATATTTTGTTCAGATAGAGTGGGAGGGAGAGAGAGGAAGAGAGAAACATTGACGTGAAAGGTACACATGGAGTGGCTGCTACCCGCACAACCCAGCCAGGGCCGGGGACGAACTGCAGTGGAAGTACATGCCCTTAGCGTGAACCGAACGCAGGTCTCTCTGGACTGCAGCGACGCTCCAACCATTGAGCAAAACCAGCCAGCGCTGAAAACATTTTATTTATTTATTTATTTTTATTTATTTTTATCCTCACCCGAGGACATTTTTGCATTTTTTGTTCAGACAGAGCGGGAGGGAGAGAGAGGAAGAGAGAGAGAGAGAAACATCGATGTGAAGGGACACATTGAGTGGTCGCCACCTGCACGACCAACCAGGGCCGGGGACAAACTGCAACCAAGGCACGTGCCCTTAGCGGGAACCGAACCCGGGTCTCTCTATACCGCAGGCCGAGGCTCCAACCTCTGAGCCAAACCGGCCAGGGCTGAAAACATTTTAAAAATGAGTTGTGTTCAGATGGACCTGGATTCTCCTGACTCCATCATTTTATTGGTGTGACCTTGGGCAGGTCTTTAAATCTCTTACTGATTCTGTTTCTTCATTTGTAAGATAGACATACTCCATCATTTCAGCTCAGGCCAGAAACAGTGGGCCATCCCTAATTCTTTCCTTTTTCTTATGTTCCTCATCTAGTAAATCAGCAAATCTTTATGTGTGTGTGTATGTTGTGCATGTATATATCTGTGTGTATGTATACAGACAATCATACAACCTCTCACCACTGCCATAACCACTGATACCTTGGTCACATCATCTCTTTCCTGGATTGCTGCAGTGGCATTCTCACAAATGTTTCTGCCCTTGCTTCTTCCCCATCCTACCACAATCTAATCTTAGTATATCAGAGGGATCCTTTTACAGTATGTCAGACTGTATCTTTCTTCTGCTCACAGCTTTGCAGTAGTTTTTCATTTCATTCTTAGTAAAAGCACTGTTTCATGGTGTTTTATAGTATAGATGTAAAATATTTAACCATTCTGTTTTTTTTCATTTTTAAAAATATATTTATATTGATTTTTTATTTTATTTTAGTTACAGATGTTTCTTTTTTTTCCCCCTATTGGTACCCTCCTCCCCATTCCCCCCACCCTGTCCCCAGCTTTGTTGTCTATGTCCATCGGTTATGCATACATGCATATAAGTTCTGTGGTTTATCTCTTCCCTCCCGCTGCCCCCCCCCCTTCTGAGGCTTGTCAGTTTGTACCCTACTTCTATGACTCTGGGTCTATTTTGTTTATCAGTTAGTTTGTTTAGTTCATTATATTCCAGAAATAAGTGAGATCATGTGATATTTGTCTTTCTCTGCTTAGCTTTTTTCACTTAGGATAATACTTTCCAGGTCCCTCCATGTCGTCTCAAAGGATAAGAGATCTTTCTTTCTTACAGCTGCATAGTACTCCATTGTGTATATGTACCACAGCTTTTTTATCCACTTGTCTACTGATGGACACTTGGGCTGTTTCCAGATCTTAACTATTGTAAATAGTGCTGCTGTGCACTTGGGTATATTTCTAGAAGTGGGATCACTGGGTCAAATGGCAATTCAATTTTTAATTTTTTGAGGTTACACTATAGTGTTTTCCATAGTGGCTGCACCAGTTTGCATTCCCACCAGCAGGGTACTAGGGTCCCCTTTTCTCCATACCTTCGCCAGCACTTGTTGTTTGATAATTTGTTGATGGCAGCCATTCTGACAGGTGTGAACTGATACCTCATTGTTGTTTTAATTTGCAACAATTAAAACAATGATGATTAGTGATGTTGAGCTTTTTTTCATATGTCTCTTGGCCATTTGTATGTCCTGTTTGTAGAGGTATCTCTTTAAGTCCTCTGCCCATTTTTTAATTGGGTTCTTTGTCTTCCTTTTGTTGAGTTGTGTGAGTACTCTCTGTATTTTGGAAATTAACCCCTTATCTGATGTGTCATTGGCAATTATGCTCTCCCATATAATGGGTTCCTTTCCATTTTGATGGTTGTTTCTTTTGCTGTGCAGAAACTTTTTAGTTTGATGTAGTCCCATGTGTTCATTTTTTCCTTTCTCTTGCGTTAGGTGATTTATCAGTGAAAATTGTGCTGTGTATGATATCTGAAATTCTGTTGCCTGCATTTTTTTCTAGGATTTTTACGGAATCACGAGTCGTATTTAAGTCTTTTATCCATTTTGAGTTTATTCTTGTGTACGGTGTAAGTTGGTAGTCTAGCTACATTTTTTTTTTTTTTTGGTACGTGCCCCCAGTGGGAACCGAACCCAGGACTTTCTGGTCCACAAGCCGATACTCCAAACGCTGAGCCAAATCGGCCAGGACTAGCTTCATTTTTTTGCATGTAGCTGTCCTATTTTCCCAACACCATTTATTGAACATGCTGTCTTGACTCCACTGTTTGCTCTTGCCACCTTTGTCAAATATTAATTGAGCATAATGTTTTGGGTCAATTTCTGGGTTCTCTGTTCTGTTCCATTGAGTATCATTCTTCTGTTAATGGACATTTTGTTTCCTCAAATTTTGCTATTATAAGTGGTACTTCAGGTAACATCTATATATACACATCTTTGTGCTCATGGGTGAGCATTTCTGTAGGGTGGAGTTTAGAAGTGAAATTGTTGTTTTTTTTTTTATCCTCACCTGAGGACATTTTTCGATATTTTGTTCAGATAGAGTGGGAGGGAGAGAGAGGAAGAGAGAGAGAGAGAGAAACATCGACGTGAAAGGGACACATCGAATGGCCGCCACCCGCACGACCTGACCAGGGCCGGGGACAAACTGCAGCCGAAGTACATGCCCTTAGCGGGAACCGAACCCGGGACTCTGTAGACCGCAGGCCAACCCTCTAACCGCTGAGCCAAGCCGGCCAGGGCTAGAAGTGAAATTGTTAGTGCAAGATGTGTCCAAAGTTAAAATGTTGATAGATACTGCTAAGTTATCTGCAGTATTAATCAGAACCCAAGTTTAAACTAGCTTACACAAAG